AATTAACTGACTTGCCTCCAAATTTCTTTAAAAATAGTTCAAAATTGGAAAATTTATCTTTGGATAGAAATAATTTAACAGATGTGTCTTGGGACATATTTGATGGTTTAACATCGCTGAAGAATTTAGATATTAGTTCAAACCAAATTTCAAGTTTTAATGCTGAAAAAATTGCAAAATATTTGCCGAATTTGACGGGATTGGATTTTACTCCTAATCCTTTGGAGTGTAAGAAGAGAGAAGCTTTCGCTAATGAGCTTAGCAAGAAATTAAATCGCACAATTGAAATCAGGCATAAGTTTGATCCTGGATTTTTCGATTTATGCGAAGTTTTTGATTAATTAATCATTACATAACACAATGTGTTTGTATTTTTGTTTCACAGTAAAAATAAACCTTTTGTATATTTTTGCACCCCTTTGATACAGTTGATTTCCTGAGATTGTATTAAATTGAAAAAAAATAAGGTTTTTTGTATTGACCAAAATTCTATTAAATATTTTAATGACGAAAAAAGTGCGGGAAATAAAGAAATTTTAATTTTTTTGGAATGAACTAAAGTCGCAACTAAATTACACTGTAGAAGTTTCAGAAAATTAAGAGTTGTGATTATAATATGATAAATAAAATTCAGTTAATTGTTTTTTTAAAGTGAAACTTTTATTCTATCGCCTCAAATTTTTCGTCCATCTATCGCATGTCGCATTACAATATGGTGGCGCCCATGGCTCGCATCAGCTGACTGTGTAGCATTTATATTCTTACTCATTCGTGCAAGTGCTTCGCGGTATTTGTGTGTTTTAATCAGTGGACTGACGTGTATTGATCAAAAAAAAAGTTTCACTTGCATCGTAGTTTCTTTAAACCAAGTAGTTTTTTATTATTTTTGTCATGTGTTTAGTAAAGATAAGTGATAACCTCTTAACATTTACTCGTCAATAGAAAATTTTTATATTTTGATTATAGTTGCTCAAGATGGTTTGTGATGTTTGTATGAAATCGAAGCAATTTTAATGTTAACTTTTTTAGAAATTCTTAGTATTCGTCTTTCTTTTAATAAAGTGTGGCCAATCAAGTGGCATTGGTGAATGGCAATTTTTTTCAGAAGTTTACAACGCTTCGTTTATAGAAGGACAACCTTTAAAACTTAATGGATCTTCTACGAAAGTCGAACTAATGGGCGTTTGGGGTAACCTCTATTCCGATTCATTGTCAAAACTGGATCAAGTAACCCATCTTAAAATTTTCGCAAAAATTCATCCAGGAGCAATTTGTTCAAACCCAAATTTACGAAAGTTTGAACTCGTTTTAAGTCGAGAAACAAACTTGTTAAAACTGAGAAAAAGTCACTTCCACAATTGCCAAAATTTGGAAGAATTTTCAATCGTTGGTAACTACAAAAATTCATCGACTTTTATCGAAAAAGCAGCTCTGGAAGACTTGAGCAACTTGAAATATCTCGACCTTGAGAATTTAAAGCTTCCACATTTCACACACGACCATTTGAAAAATCTCAACTCTTTGATTCACTTAACAGTGAACAAATGTGGTATTGAAGAAATCGAATCTGGTGTTTTTGATGATTTGAAGAATATTGAAGAAATTGTATTTGTTTATAATCGGTTTACAACTTTACCGAAAAATTTATTTAAAAATAATGCCCGGGTGAAAAAACTTATTTTGCTTTCGAATAATATCACTAATTTGACTTGGGACGAATTTGTAGGATTAGACTCAGTGACGGATCGTGCGATTGGACGAAATTCAATCACACATTTCGATGCCACAAAAATTGCGGAAAATATGCCACGTTTGGAAGAACTTAACGTAGAATTAAACCCAATCCCATGCAAAAAAGTCGAACAATTTGCGAAAGAATTAAAATTAAAATTGAATCACACTGTGAAAGTCACACACAGGGTTAATCCCTTTTCTTATGACTCGTGTATTTATCAATAAATTACTTCTCAATTCTTAGATTTTTAATGCGAATACCTTGTTAATTTGGCAAAAGTGCTTTGAAGTCGTCTTCTAGTTCAATTTCAGATATATTAAGTCGTGGTTTCCGGTTCTCTTTGTGCTCCCGGAGTCGAGCTCGGTGATGTCGTGATTTTCTCATATATATTCCGTGGTCTTCGTGGGCGCCAAGCGTGAAATCAGGTCCCAATTTCCGATGTGCCTTTTACTCGGCACTGAAATTCCTTTTATATTGTTCTTTTCGCTGATTCCAAATCGAGAAAAGAATTTTTCGACGACGATAGGAAGACTAATCGATCCTGAATCATTTTTTAACTAACCGTAAGAGCGTTTTTGACAATCGTAAAATGAAAATCCGACGGGTTTGTTATCATTAATGGAATTTAAAACCAATTGAATCAATTTGTTTTTCATTGAGCTGTAACAGTGATAAGCTATTTGATTATTGGCGCATTGGCGGTAAAGTAATAATTTATGTTTCTCGAAATCTAATAAAGCCACCAAAAAAATAAGCGCTATGTAGGTGATTCAGCTAAAGTAAGTATTTTATCAATCACATACTTACTATGTTGAAATTAGAAAATATAAAGATTTCTGTTAGTATTTTTCCAATTTACAGGATTATTTAACTAAAGATTGTCACTTGATTATTGTTTGAACTATTTTATTGGTTCTTGAATGGTTTTTTAATTTTTTAATAAAAGAATACAAAAAATCGGTTTTATATTTTTTTCACCACTAGCTGTAAAAGATACCATTATTTAGTTTGTCGAGATGTTGTGAAGTTGTTTTTCTCTCCTAGTATTCAATTATTATTTTCATTATAGATCAAGGACTATAATGTATTAGAGGTGGGTCAATACCGACGTTGGAGGGTATACGCGCTATTAGTGTGACGTCAGTGAGGTACGTGGAATCCTGGACGTATAGGGAGATTATGTTTCCAAGGAAATAGTTGCTATGAAAAATGTGTGTCGTTTCGTAATAGTTTTAACAATTGTAGTCAACATTTCTGTAAGTTAATCTGTTCTAACCTCACTTTTTGTGTAATGTGTACTTCAAAGTATGTTTACAGAGTTGCCAGAAGTTGCAAACGACAGAGTGGCTAGGTCGTACCAAAACAAAATAAAAAGTATCAACATTCACATAATGTGTATTTGGCTGAGAATATAAATTATTATTTGTTTACAAGTAAATATAAATATCTAGTAAAAAAACTCTAGTATCAATTTGCTACTATAGTATCACAACTGGCAACACTGTATGTTTAGCTTCAGTACAGTCGCGTCTGTGACGTCACGACTGATAACGCGTATTACATTGTACAAATATTTCTAGAATATTATTATTGAAAACTGTTACCATTACAAGTACTAACGGAAGTATTTCGAAATGAAATTAATGCAAATTCAAATAAAAAAACTGACATTTCCTCATTAAAAATATCAGAATAACCTCAACTCTAATACTTATTATGTCAAAACAATAAATAGGTTTATTTCTTATTAAAATACTATTGGTGGTGAGGCAAATTTTAACACTTTTTTCCTTTTCTTTGCAGTGTCTTTGTTATTGTAAGAAATATTTCATATTAAATACATATAAACTTAGAAAATTTCTTTAATAGTTGCAGAAGTACAAAAATGACATAACCTCATTTATTAACTCAGGTAAGTAATTAATTACTGTAGGTAATAGTGAATTAACAAAAATTTAGTTGTGAATTTCGACATGTTACGTCTGGGGCAACATGTTGATTAAGTAGGGTTATATTTTTCGCCGTTGTATTCTGGATAATGAATGTGCTAGTAGTGAAAAAAATATTATATAAAACACGGTAGATCGGTAGAGAAGATTTTTATAGTCTTGCAAGCGTACCATCAAACAGCTCGGCTCTAAAAAATCTCTTCTCTACCTTGTGATATAATATACTATTATTATTAGACAAAATTTTTAATGTTATGTTCTGATCTTTATGCAAACAAGAACACAAATTACATAAAGTGCTTTTTAAAGCACTAAATTTTTATCCGCAAACGTCACAAAAGTGACCACTTTTATGATTAAATGTCACAAAGAAAAGTTTTATCTTTGAGCCATGGAGTAAAAATTTAAGCATTTTGTTTTACCAGTGTTGTGTATTTCTTGTCCCTGTCGTTGCTTCAACAATTTCTGGAGAGGTACATTGTAGATAATCAGCATTCGACATTTTGCACCACTACCTGCACTAATCATGTACTAAATTAATAAAAACTTTTGAAAATCTTAGCAGAAATTCCGATACTAATGCGTGATGTTTGTTTATAAGAGTTGTTATGATTTCATTGGAAAGCATTCTGATTATTTTCTTCATTTACTTGCTAATTATAGCGTTGGTTTTTATTCTCAATCTGCATACATTTTGGATAAAATAGTATATGTTATTTTAAAATACAGGGTGATTCACCAGGAATAATTAGCTTACCAAATTCTCGATGCAACCACCATTACTTTTCTCAAGTTGCTTTGTATAAGTGAGTTTATGGGGCTTAGCTGAATTAAACGTTTTGCTTCGCTACATAAACTATCACTTTTACTCTTAATAACATAAGATACTATTATCTGCTAGTTTTAAGAAATAAATAATAAGAATAAAATATTTTACATAATAATAAGTATAAACAAGTTAAAAACAGTACAAGAACAGTCACGAATTATTTTTCCTACATTAACAGCAGAATAATAATTTTAAAAAGTAACTAGGAATTCAAATAAATAAAATGCGTATCTTAGGCCATAGACTCAAATGTATTAAAAACAATGAAGTAATTTTTCCATCCATTTCTCTATGTTTACTCGTAATATTCAAATTTTTATATAAAATATAATTTTTCATATATTTTAGTCTAAATTATTGATTTTTTGGCGATGTTTTGACTCATTTTTTAAACAGTTTTGGTTGGGCAATATCTATTACAGTTTTAATTAAACGAGTGTTTAATTTCTGCTTCATTTTGTTTCCCTGTAATAATTCAACATCTCGCAATGCCCAAACACTGAATTGCCAATAAGCCAAAATAATTCCGACCCATTATATGCCTAGTTGCGTTGGAAAACCGGTAATCTCCTATTATTACTAAATATGACGCTGATATCTACACACTTTAATGGGGATTGTAATAATCTAATAAACGATCGATACAACTCTATCAACTATTTGCTTTATTTTAGCCGCTCTTGATTATAAGTTGAATAGTTTAATTCGACAAACCAAACTCTGAAACATTCTGTGTTGCCTAACTTAATTTTGAATTCTCATCGAGAAACTTTCAAAATGAAAAATCATTTCGTCGAGTGAGAAAAGATTTATTGCTTTTCATACGAAACAATATACTAAAACACTCAACACGTTTTACAACCTTTGATAAATTTTGCACATAAAAGCGTTGATGTTGAAAAGGACGCTTTTACTTCAATTATTTGGCTCGAAATGGAAATATTGTCGCTGAAATATGAAAAACGTGCCTGAAATGAGAAGATTCAGCCACAAATAAAGCCAAAATTATTTTTTGCAAAACAAAACCCGCATGATATGTGGTATATAAGCTGCAGCCGAAGTTTGTCAAAGCCCCAAGACCGCAAACTAAACTCTACGTGATGCAACCAAATCAGATTTGAATGCAATGGATGTAACAAAGATGGCCAATAGCCAAGTTAGTTATATTACGATTAAAGTTATTCCCTTGTGGTTTCGATATGCGATATATAGTTGAATAAGTTGGAAATTCAGATATGAGAAGATATCTTCGACATTTATAATCATCCGAGTTGGTTTATGTGAGGAGTTTGGTCGTAATTTATTGGCACAAAACAGTTGTTATTTTAATTGTTGGGCCACAAGTGACCTACGTTTATTAACTTGGAGCAATTAAACCTAACCCCCATTTTGGAGATTATGTGCGAAAGTGTAATGAGATTTCGGTCTAAAACGAATTAAATTTTTGAAAAATTCCTGGACTAGTTTACAAGTTTCCCGCATTCGTTCGTCTTTGTTAAAAAGTTTTGTCATAATGAAACTCACTTTTAAAATGTTTGTCTCTTGAGATTGAAAAAAATTAATTTTGCGAATTCCTGGTCTGATATAATAGCATCCAGTGGCGGCTCGTTAGGGCCTCCCCAGTGAAAATAGAACTTAAAAATAAAATAATCTAGTAGAAATTTACATTATTTTGACTTTTTTCCAATCGTAAATTATAATCTTAAGCTTAATAATTTTTTATTTGTTCAAATGTTGATTTTTTTGCATTAATAATAGTGAACCAGTTTTAAATAAACCGCCGCGCCTTCACAGCTCTGGTAAGCAGTGCGCAGGTCACTATTGGAGAAGAGCTGACATTTTTGAAAAGGCTAGTGTAGTTTTTTTCTAGTGTAGTGTTTGGTTGTTGTGAAAATAAGTAAATATGTCCATCTTGAGTATGAATGTGTCTATGAAAAAGGTAACTATTAGAAATTGTTAGGTATCGTTCAGTTTAATAACAAATAAATTTTCTCGACTTTCGTACGACGATAAGTTATATGCAAAAGAATTGGGATCACCTCATCAAAACTTAAATAATATTTATTTCAATTACAAGGAAGGAAAGTATATTTTTTCTTCTCACAGATGGAAGTTACTGCACGAGCATTGTCAAATGAATCAAATACGACCTGTCGAGGGTAGTAACCACCCAGGGAGGAAAAGACACTTTCCTTCAATGTAATACATATAATTTTTCCTACGATCCAGCAAGAAAAACTTCAATACTAACAATTTATCTTAATATCCCAGTTTTGCCATTAAATCTAACAGCATGTTTTTCAGATTTTATGATGGAGGTTAAATTTTTACCTCCCTGAGAGATTTTATACATTTTTATTGTAATGTTGACAGATGAGGGAGGTAATTGGCCACTTTCCTTTCTGAAATTAGGGTGAAAAACCTACTTTCTCTTAGGGTCATAGAAAAATTAATTATTAA